CCCCAGGCCTGGCCCCCCTGCTCAGTTACCCCAGGTGCTAGGTGACCCAGGAGCTGAAATTCCTGATGTCCCCAACGACGGTGTTATTAGGACCCCCACATCTTCACTTGGGTGTTTCCCACAAGCCTATGGAGCACACGTACAAGAGAAGGTCTGTCTGGGAAAGCAGCCTGTGGCCCCGGAGAAACCACAGGGAGTCAGCCACAGCAGTGCCTTCCAGACATTCCTAGAAGCAAGGTGAGGAAGCCAACTTCTCTATGTGGCCCCTGTGGCTTTATCATGGCAAATTCCTACAAACAAGGACAACCTCACCATTGTAAGTTCCTAGAATCTGAGTAACTTTACATTTCTGTGGGTTATTTGATTACAGCAAGGTGGGATGGGTAATCTTAGCTAAATAGCAGGTGAGACAACGCAGTGTTCATTTAAGTACCATTTCAACTGCAGTAACAATCACCACACAACAAGGTCCTCGTGGCCCGTTTGTTTCAACATGTCTTACAATGACGCTCTAATTAGAGAGCTCGTGGTAAAATTTCCCCTTCCTTGGGATGTTTAATAATGGAACTTGACCAGTAGATAAGAGCACTTTTGAAAGCTAAGCCAGGTCCATGGACGGATGAAAAATAAGAAGCCCAAGGTCACACACCAGCCTGCACCAGCTCAGAGCCAGGCAGCTCTGTTTTAATGGAGAGCTGAAGCTGCCACCTGCATTCTGCACCTCTGGGGGCCTGGCTCCTAAAAGAGGTGGGAGAGCAACTCAAGGAAAGGCCTTGCCCTGCAGGAGCCTGGCAGAGCCCTAGAAGTGCAGTGACCGGCCGCACAGCCAGTGAAGGGCATGGCTGATGATGGTGTGGTGGTGGGCGGGCCACCACGGCCAGGATTTATGGAGTGCCTCGGACCTCAGCCTCAGCCAGCCTCTGTGCCCAATGCAGCCCTGGTGTCTGGCTTCCTGGAAGGGCTGTCAAGGTCACTCTGACTCGTGTGACAGATGAAGGACAATTCAGGATCTGCAACCACCGAGTCTTGGAATGCAGCCTTCCTTCTGCTAGAAAGAGTCATTTGATGCAACACAACTCTTCTGGGTGGAACGCATGTCAAGAGGACGGTTGCAACAGGCTCCCTGAGTTCAAATGAGACTGCTCCTTAGTGACACTGACAGCACTGCATTGTCTCCGCGGCCAGGCCCACGGCGTATGACCTGGCAGGTTCAGGTCTGCACAGAAAGGGGGCAGCGTCTGGGCCTCAGGAGGCACTCTGCCCCGACCAGTGGTTGGTGGTAACAGCCTTCACAGTAACAGTTTTCTCAAATCCCCCTCAGCTTTTCAAGGAATGTCCTCACCTGCTATTTATACTTGTATTCTTGGTCTCCCCCAACCCCTGCTCTTCCCCAGCTGCTGAGAAAGTGACTTGCCATTTTTGTTTCCCCAGAAGGTCCAGGTGAGCCTGGAGTCGTGACGGTGAGCACAGCTGTAGCCGTGACAGTGGACGAGAAGACAGCCATTGCTGCAGGTAGGCGCTGCCCTTTGTGCCGCCGAGGCCGGGAAGGTGTGAGTCGATGTCACGGATAAGGCACACGGTAATAGCAAGAGGACCCCTGCCTGTGCAGGGCCGCAGTCCTCGGCTGTGAGTGTCCCCGGTGACATGTGGAACTGAGGGTAGTGGAGTCTTCCCAGGCCATTTTATTTATCAAACAGTACCACCTGAAATCTTAAAGAATTTATGAAGTGAGTAAAATGAAGCCCAGAGAGGTTAAGAGATCTGCTGAAGGTCACACAGGACGGAGACTGCAACCCAGACCTGCTTCTCCCCGCTCAGCAGCTGCTTCTCTCTTCCACCACCTCGGGTCTAGTGTCCCTCTGAAGAGAAACGGGGCTGTGACTCCAATCCTAAAGTAAGAGCTCGCTGTGTGCTCGGCACGTGCCCAGCCCCTGGGAATCTGCTTCCAACGCGCACTCCCGTTCGGCCCTCAGGGTATCCGGTGAAGCCAAGGCTTTGGACTCCATTTTATGATCAGGAAACTGAGACACAGAAAAGTTATTTGCCCAAAGTCTCACAGCAAATAAATAATGAAGCTAGAATTTGAACTCAGATCACCTCTCTTTAAGGCCCGGGTTCACTATCCTGTGTTGCAATTTGCCTCAAATGTGATGAATGGCTCTCCCAAGCGCCCTTGACTTCGCAGTTTCTTGGTGCCTAAAAAAGCCCCGGGCACCTGTCTCGTTATCCAACAGCCACCATGTCCTGGAACACAGCCTGTGTTCAGCTTCCACGTCTTAACTTCAGCTGGGTTCTGAAAAGTTGCACGATCAATGGCCACTTGAGCATCAGCCATCATGCCTCCTTGAATCAGGCACCTGTCCTGCTTCCCCGGGGACCCCTTAGCCATGAGGAAGCACTCAGCAGCTGCAGTGGGGCGAGGCAGGCAGGACCTGTGCCCCTTCTCCCCTCAGGCTGAATTCAGGGCAAAGGGGATGGAGGAGTAGGCTGGGGTCAGGCAGAGAAGGTCCAACCCTGTCTTCCTGGCTAAAGAGGGCACAGGTCAGGCTCCTGGCTGCTTTCCACAATGGGACAAGGGCGGGGGAAGCGGGGGGTGGGGAGTGACTTGGCCTGATGTAGTTCAGCATCCACGTTAGGAACACTTGCGTATGGACCATCTTTAGGATGTGCCAGCCCAGGGTTTGAAAGGCACCAGGCTGTCTCAGGCACCTCTTTTTTCTTAGTCCAAAGCTAATTCTAAATCCATTTCTAGGCCAAATTTTTACCCCAAACTTGTTTCCCTAAAGCAGTGGTTCTCAACCTTCTGGCCCTTTAAATACAGTTCCTCATGTTGTAACCCAACCATAAAATTATTTCCGTTGCTACTTCATAACTGTAATGTTGCTACTGTTATGAATCGTAATGTAAATATCTGATATGCAGGATGGTCTTAGGCGACCCCTGTGAAAGGGTCGTTCCACCGCCAAAGGGGTCGCGCCCACAGGTTGAGAACCGCTGCCCTAAAGACTATTCTGTGGTCCCAGTTGAGTCTGTGCCTGTCCTGCTCCCTCCATATCCTGGGTCTTCTCCGCTCCTGCACACCTGGGAGCTGAGGAAAGAGAAGGGACACAGGGTCAGGCTGCTGGCTGGGCTCTCCTGCACTCTCCAATTATTTGAAATCATTTTTAACACAGAGCTGATTTGGAGCTGTGAGAGGTTGTCATAGAAACTGTGTCCTGGTGCCTCTGGCTTAACACACTGCAGGCAGTCGCTCTGACGCTCTGGGTGCCTAGATGTGACAGGAAAAGGATGAGGCTCTGGAGACCTTCAATTAGCTGGGGCTCTTCTCTTTTAATTTCCTCTCTCTGGTCTATGGCTCCGCCTTCCTGATCCTGGCCCGGTGGGGGCCTCTAGCTCCAGGCAGGGTAGGCAGCTTGTTTGCTGACCTGGCAGTTTCATCCCTTGGAAACTGGTGGCAGTGTGTGATGCGAGCTCCAGGAAGGATGTGCATGTGTGGGTCTGTGCCCTGGGAGAAGGGCACTCTACCACCCAAAGAGGCCAGCCCCACGCCGGCAAAGGTGTGTCTAATGCCACAGGTTCGTACAGAGGGCAGATGAATGAGGGGGGATTCTTTTCATCTCTAAGCAGGTGATTTAGCAACAGTTGCTGCAAAATTTCTATAAACCTAACTTTTTAGTCAGGGTCTATTTTCAATTCTCCAAGCCCTAGTTAGGGAATATTGACAAACATAATGCCGGTGGGCACCATACTCTGCAAGTGTGTTTGTCTACCACATGTTCTGCAAGTCACACGTTCCCCTGACAGCCTGTGTGCTGGGCCTGCTGCCTGGAGCTGCATGAGGCTCCTCTCCTTGGGGTCCTGCCCACAGGTGAGTGGGCCTAACCAGAGACCTGTGCGCACTCAGGATGGGACTTGGATAATGCACCTACGTGTTGCCCAGACTTGCGCCACACTTGTGAGGGGCCCTGTCCTCGCTGCTGCTGTGGGGCCCAGGGCTGCTACAAGCGTTATGGCTGCAGGAAGGAGGGCAACGCCCCACAGTTATCACCACCTGGAAAGGGGAACCGCCCGGTTCTACCAGGAGTCTTGCTGAGCTCCAAAAATGGGGTCCCTGATGGTTCGCTTCTCCCTGGGGTTTGCTCCTGGCTCACTGGAGTAGCATCCAAAGGAAGGCTGGGAGGGAGAACACTCCATCTTGGTCTCTGAAGACTAATGAACCATGCAGTCCAGGCCCATTCATCCAGAGGCCAGTCCAGGCCTAGAGGAGGGCCACTCGGGCTAGGGATGGAGAGCAACCCCAGAGGCCTCACTCTCTCCCTCATCTCCTCTCCTGGTCCCCCATCCCAGGCCCCCAGGCCGTAATCCTGATTCCCTGCCTGCTGAGCCCTGTGGAGAGATCATATCTGTAAGCCCAGAGTATCATCTGCCTGCCCCTGAAGTCAGCTTTGAAAGTGAAAGATGGTATTAGGTGAAACGGGCTCCTCCTTCGTGTCAGCAAACTTCACCAACTCATGGAAGCTTATAAAACCCAGTCAGCAAGAAGTCCTCTAACTGCTCTTAGGGAGCCCCTCACCTTCCATTACACAGTGGGGTCCTCTGGGCAGATGTATTCCTTCCTGCCACACGGGCCCATCTGCCCTGGACTATCAGGGTGGGTTCACTCAGGCCAGAGTAGATGAGCACCCACAGGGCACGGAGCAGTGATGGGTCTCATTCCATAAGCTACGCGGCTGCCCCGTGAAACCAGCCTGAGGCTCATGCACCTCCTGTCAGGCCAGCACATGGCTGAGCTTGCTGCACTTGGCCCCCACTCCTCCCGGTGCACCCCAAGGCAAGGCCATGGGAGGCCCCCACTGTCTGACAGCGTTCTGGACATCAGGGTGACATCTGGCAGCACTGTGTGCAGCTGCTTGGGGGTGGGGGACAGGAAGCCACTCTCCCAGCACTCACATCCCCTCCCCACCCAAAGAAACCAGGAAGTACATAGGAAAATACAGTCTTTATTGGTCTTCTGAAACAACAAACCAGAAATATAATTTGCCTTTAAAAATCTTCTGTCTCAAGGTGAAGATACCACTATTGACAATGTCCACCCCTCCCCCATTCCCTTTAGGAAATCCCCACATCTGGTTTCAGCTGGCAAACCAAAAGAAGGAAGACTGTGCCCCACATGGGGGAGGGCATTTAGCAGCCTTGCTGGGGCGCCCTCGGCACCCCTGTGCTGGAGAATGGCCTTTCCAAAGGCAAGTTTGCCTCTCCTCCAAGCCCTCTCTCCGACTATGCTCTTCTATGAGATACAAGCGTTGAGGGGTGCAAGCTGAGCTGGGCCTGCCCTGTCCTTCCTCAAACCCTGGCCTCGTGTTCTGGCAACCTCTTCCTGGGCCACCACTGAGCGACCTGAACCCCACCCAGCCCTCTTCTCTGCCATTCCCACAACTCTGCAAGCAGGCGTCTCTGCCCCTTTGGTGTAGGTTCAAGCAAGGAACAAACAGGAGCCCTGGCCCTTGCTCCAGTTTGGAGCCCAGTCCAGGTGCAATGGAGAACTCTGGGGAGCCGGACTGAGCAGACCAACCCGTGGGAGAGGGAGCCCCATCACGGGAGCCTCTGAACAGAGTGCGGCAGTCTCTGTGTGGGAGATGTGAGCAGGCAGTGAGCTTCACAGAGGCCACCTGCTTTCCCAAGATGTCACCAGGCACAGAGCATGGCCCAGTCCCCACCCAAGGTCACGGGCCCAGAAGTGCTGAAGAAGGAGGGAGGGGTGCAGAGCAATGGTTCTCCGGCTGCGGGCTGCAGGTGCGGGAGGGGAATCGGTGGGTGTCCCCACAGGGCTGGCAGTGATGATGCACTTTGGCCCCCTGGGCGCTCAGGAGGCTGCCATCCACAGGTGCTGCAGCCTCAAGGCCTCTGGGCTGCTTCCCTGGAAAACCCAGCAGGACAGGTGAGAGGGTTACCATGGTGACGGGCAGGCTCATCCACTTGGCCCACTTTAGAGGATCTCAAAGGCATCCTGTACTGTCAGTTTGGGTTTCTCTCCTTGTTGACTTGAGAAGATGGCGATAAGCAAGCAGAAGCTTCAGTGCTGAGGGCTAGACACCCAAGGGGAAGCACGCTCTGCTCCCCAAGTTCTCCTGACTCTGTCTCCATGTGACTGTGTGTGCACGTGTGTGGGATTTTTTTCAGTTGATGTGATTTCGCTGGTGATGCTATGAGTTAGTGTGAGAGTAAATTAGTGAATCCAGGAGTAATGCGGTCGGCATAGTCTCTAGCAGATATAGGGGCGTAATGGCTTCCGCCGCGGGAGTGTGTTGCAATCACAGCGTGGTGTTTCTAAGGGCTAGATCCCGATGACAGGGCTGCTGGGCTTGCACGTTAGTACCAGCTTCTGAAAGCTGGACCCAACTTTCACACTGAAGGGTGGTTAAGAATATCTTCCTGGCTTAAAAGAGAGTCACAGAAATGAACCCCTTCCCTCATATTACTTCCTCCCCAGCCCCTCATGCAGATGAGAGAGGTTGAGCAAGAGGTAGGGAGAGTCACCTAGCTGTGGACTACATCCAGGGCAGGAAGGGCAACGGCAGTGCTCAATCAGAAGCTCCACTTGCACGCATATTCCTTCCTCTCTACGACCAGAGGCTCAAGGAGATCCAAAGATTTGGTGGCCCCGGGAGGCGCATCAGCTGGAGCCTTCAGCATAATGGCAGCTTCCCCAGAGACTGGAAGTCCCCGCTGTGGCTGCTTTGCTGGAGGGCTGGGCTGGGACGGGGGAAGGAGTGGAGCTGGGGACTGTGGCAGAAAGAAGGGCCAGCTCTTCCAGAAGCAGTCTCCATGCGCTCTCCTTGCCCTTCCTACCTGAGCCAGGTAGGGCCGGGCTGTCATGCCACAGAGGAGATCTGCTTCTGGTCTTCATGCTCACCCTCCGGGTCCCCCATGAGCGGTTGGCGCTTCTTGAGCTCTCGGTGGTATTTAGCCATGAGGGAGGCATAGATGCAGCCGTAGGCAGCAGCCACCACCATCATGATGCAGACGATGCCACAGACCACCCCGGCAATGATCACGGTGCCGATGGCCCGGCGCACGCTCACAGGCCGGTACCTCTGCTTCTGGGGGCAGGCTGTACTGGACTCCGGCTCCGGTTCAGCCCCTGGCTTGGGCTTGGCAGGTTCTGGGCTGGCCTTGGTGCAGGGTGGGCCAGGACTATCCAGCCCAGCCGAGCTATTCTCGCCCTCCAACTGGGAGCAGTAGTTGAACATCTCCATGGGGACCATGCGCATGTCCTTTCCTCTCAGCTCCTTGGGTAGGGTGCAGGCAAGTTGGTCCAGGCGCCCCCCTGCATTGGGCGAGAAAACAGGAGGAGCTGACCAGGCAACCAGACGCTGGACTCCCTCTTCCCATCCCCAGGTCCCAGAAACAGAAGGCCCAGAAGTTCTAGTTTCTATGAGCAATGTGGTCAGTCCTGGGATCATGTGGATAGGAGAGGAAGGGAAGAGGAAACTAGCATCTATTGAGCCAAGTACCATGGTGGGTGAGGCACATATATCACATCATTTGATCCATGCAGAAGCCATGTAAAATGGGTATTGTCATGATTCCCGTTTTATAAAGAAGGACACAACCATTTCAGTCATCTTACTTGCTCCAGAGTCCGTCTGACCCACCAGGCAAGACAATGCTGGTAGGTGGGGGTGCTCAGGAAAGAGCTGTCAGTGCAAAGAGAGGGCCAAGAGCCCTGCCAGACTGCAGTTCCACTCCTCTCCCTGAACCTGCCTGCCGCCCACCTGCTGTGAGCCCAGGGCACTGTGCTCAACATGACATCCTATCTCTCTGGGCCTCTTCCCTCACAAAAAGGACAAAAGCCAAAAGTCACTGCCAAAGCCACCACTCTTCCATGCAGGACCTTTTGGTTGCCTAGGAGTACTTCCTTGGAGTACAGAGAAAAAGGGGTTGGGCGAGAATGTTTCTCTTTTCCCCTTTAGAGCAATCTAATGGCCCATCAGCACCCCAACCTCAGCATCTCTGAGTGCAGAGGCATCTTGGGAGGAAATCCTGAAGACCTATGAGAGCAAAGGTGCTAATGGGGCAGGGTGGGGGGCAGCGATGGGTGCACAGGTTCACCATGACAATGGTGAAGCTGCTCCACCATGGGGAGATGGAGAAGCAGAACACAGAGAGGGCAAGAGAGAGGGCAGCTAAGGAGAACGAGTTGCCCGGATATGCCCTGGGAGCCAGAGTCAGATCCAGTGAAATCCAGATGCAGGCAACAGTGCCTGTACAAGGACTTGGCTGCTGCCACCCGCCGCTGCCAGCTCCCTCTCCCAGCCCAGCTGCTGTGCACAATAGGCATCAATCTTTCCCCAGGATGCTGATGAAAACAACCCAGGATTTTTTTTGAGGGAGTGCAACGTTGACAACAACTCTACTATTGAAAATTTCTGAAAATATACATTCCCATTCCTTGCCCGTTTGTGCTGAGAGTTTAGTTCCTGATGACTGTGTGAAAGGGTAAGAATGTTCCCTAGGGACAGCACATTGGTCTGGGTCTGAAGACACTTGGCCTCTAGTCCCACCCCCATCCCCAATGCTGACTGCCTGGGTGGCCTTAGCAAGTCTTCCATCCAGTGAATGTGTCCGGGGCAGCCTTTCTACGGGCAGGAGCTGGGTGCTGACAGGGGGCAACCTCATCTTCCTGCTCCAAAGACCTGAGGGTGAATCCAGCCTGTCGTCTTGTACAATATAATGTATTTAATTGCTTATGAGTATTACCTTTCTTGGCTATAAAATAAAGCCATCTCAATTAGATATGAGGATTAAAATAGATAATGTACATGAAATGATGCTTGTAAACTAGGTACTATGCAAGGATTATTTCCCCAATCACAAAAATGGGAACTGTTATCATAGTGACTAACATGTTATGGCACTTTACAGCATGTAAAATGTTTTTAATAATTAACACATGAGAATGTCGTGCAAATAATTGAGGTTGTGGCTCCGTATGAAATGAAGGAGTGAGATTTTGATGAAAAATGTTAGCATTCCTTTCACGAAGATTTTTTATGTTGATTCATTCATTCAGCAAATATTCATTGAGCTTCTACTTTGTGCTGGCACCAATTGTATCTTATTAAGTCCATTTCATATAATGACTACTACTAGCAAATGAACAAATACATACGTTTTATTGAGGACTTACTTTGTTTTCCAGACACTTTACATGTATTACCTATTTAATCCTCACAGCAATTCTATGAGATAGACATGTTATTCACCCCCATTTTACAGATGAGTGCACTGACACAGAAATTAATCACTTTCTCAAGATCATACAGCTTGTCAGTGGCAGAGCCACAAATCAAGCCCAGATCTGGCACCTTTAGCCACTGTGCTTGATTCTTTGCCCTCCTGTCCCATTCCTTCTCATCACTTCATAGGTCATTATAGAACTTAGTCAGTAATGAAAGTGGGAAGGGAAAGAAAGTAAAACCATTTGGCTTCTTATTAAAGCTTTGATAACAAAAGTTCTTGGAAGAGAGAGTTGAGATCATCATCAAAACAAAAATTTGGTTTTATCTGTTCTTCCTCCTCTTTCCCCTCCTTCCAGAAATGATGGATACTTAAGAGGTTGCTGTATTCAGAAAATCAAGGGTTGTTTTCTTTCTCCTTCTACCATACTAGGGAATCCCAGAGCCATATCTAGTGGGATGCAGAGAAAAAGTATACTGCGTCTTTTAGTTCCCTCATGAAACCTATGAAAGTAAGGTCAAGTTACCATGAGTCCATCTAAAAGAAAAAGAGAAGAGAAAGGCAGGGAGTGGGGAGAGGGCACAGAGAAGAAGGGGAGCAGTGGGGGAGGAGGGAGAGCAGCACCCCGGCCTCCCTGCCCTGCTGATCTTTTGGAGCTGGGGCGGCTGGGACTTCCAGTGTGGCTGGTGAAGAGGCGGGGCCACCCCTTCTCCCCTGACCTTAGCCCAACCTCCAGGAAATGCGTTGGATCAGGGGTGACCCTCCCAATTCCTCACACCCACGCAGGGCTGGCTGTGCTCACCTCGGTAAGAGAACCACTCCATCCAGTGCTTGAAATCACGCAAGTTACAGTCACACTCCCAGGGGTTGTCCCCAACCTGCAGTAGCTGCAGACTTGCTAGGGGTTCAAATGTCAGCCGATCCAGGTTCTGCAGGCGGTTGGAGCGCAGCGATAAGGAGCGCAGAGCAGGGAGTCCGTCAAAAAGGCCAGTGGGCAGCTGGGCCAGGCCGTTGATGGACAGGTCTAGGTGGCGGAGCAGGGGCGAGTGCTGCAGCAGGTCTCTGTCCAGGGTCCTGATGCTGTTATTGCGCAGCTGCAGCTCAGTCAGATTCGTCAGGTCCTCGAAAATGGAGCGGGGCAGCTGGTCCAGGAAGTTGTTGGATAGGTCCAACCGCTGCAGACTGGACAGATTGGCGAATGCCCAGCTTGGCAGGGCACTCAGCTTATTGTTCAAGAGCAAGAGAGTTCGGGTGGCAGCAGGCAAGTCTGGGGGCACCATGGTGAGGCCTAGGCCACTGCAATCCACCTCCAGGCTGCGGGTGTCACACTTACAGGAGAAAGGGCAGGTGGGGAGGGCCTCCACAGCACACAGGGCGATCCAGCAGGCGATCCCTGGTGGGGCAGCAGGGAGGAGGGCGGACGGGGAGAATCATTTTTTTAATTTGTGTGAGGGGACATGGAATTTATTCAAATATCCAGCCTTCCTTTGGGAATTTCTTTTATTTACCTTCCATTCTTACAATGTGGATCCCAAAACCCTAAATTGGGTGGGAAATTCTTGATTCTTAAGAGGAGCATGGTAAAACAGAAAAAAAATCACATCTGTGACCAGAAGAACCACATTCAGATTTTGGTCTCCCGCTTAGTGTGTATGCTTTGGCAAATCACCCCTTTCTATTGCCTTGTCTAGAAAATTAAGATACTTATAGTATGCCGAAACCGGTTTGGCTCAGTGGATAGAGCGTCGGCCTGCGGACTGAAAGGTCCCAGGTTCGATTCTGGTCGAGGGCATGTACCTGGGTTGCGGGCACATCCCCAGGTAGGCAGCTGATCGATGTTACTGATCGATGTTTCTAGCTCTCTATCTCTCTCCCTTCCTCTCTGTTAAAAATCAATAAAATATATATATTTTAAAAATCCCAAATACTTCCATGTTAATGGGCTTCGCATGGTGTCAGCACGGCTCCTTGCCCACAGCACATCTAGCCAAAGAACCCCTGCCATGCAGTATGACCCTGCAGAATGGCAGGCCTGAGTCCAGAGGGCAAGCAACACTGGTCCACAAAGGTGCCTCAGCTCATGTGGCCTCCCACGGCTGATCTCCTGGGAGCTGGGGCCCACTGACACCACAGATGTTGACAAAGTTAAGAGCATAAGGATGCTTGAGAAACCTGCCCCCAGGTTCCTCTCCCAGAGTCACTGCCAGGAGAACGTTCTCTTTCCAAAAGAAAATGGCCACACTGCTGCTTCCTTCCCCCTCCGCACCGCACCCCCAACCTGCACCTGCACTAGGCTGAGACATGCCACACAGAAGGGAGGGCACAAAGGGGCGCTCCAAGCCTGCCCCCAAAACCTCCCAGTGTGTCAGATCTGCATGAGTCCACATCCAAGACGGGGCCTGCAACTTAGCGTGAGAACCAGCCAGGAGTCCAGCGCACCCAGAGTCCACTCCAGAGACGGCTGTGCAAATGACGAGGATACAATGTGCAGTTCCACTTCACACTGAAGAGTACGTGTGTCCACGCCACTGAAAATCATGGGGCCTAGGACAAGCTCCATATTTATTCTCATTCTAAAGGCACCCGTGCCCAGAGCCTGAACTCCTGTCCCTAAGGGTTGCAGGGCAGCATTTCTGCAGAAAGGATCCATTAACATAATTCCTTTCATGGTCCCATGTTTTGCCCAGGACCCCTCTGAGTAGGAAGCACAGGGCCCGGCCTGTGGAAGGGCTGGGGGGCCTCAGAGAACAATCACAACAGGGTAGGTCATTCCATTGTCCAGCAACCTTTCTAAGAGTGACTGAAAAAACCCTTAACTGTCATCCTGAATAGTCAGAGAAGTCTGCTCATTATAAAAGGGAAAAGGGATGAGCTCAAACTAGCTCAGCCAAACTAAGGCAGCCCCAAGAAGCCCAGAGGAAAGGCCCAGCTGGAGAGGCGCTGGAGATGCCCAGACCCAGGCCATGGCCCATTTGGTCCCACCTGGAGAAGGAGCAGCCACCCTGACCAGCGTGCCTGCATGGGGTGGTCTTGAGTCTGTGTCTGGTAGGTGTCTGGTTGTCTGGTTTTCCAAAGGGCAGACGTGGAAGGAACAGGATGGGGCTGTATCCCTCCCCTGCCTGGGGGATCAATGACAGCTGAGAGACACACTGCAAGGCTGACACCTGAGCCTCTTTGTTCCCGAGGGGAAGTGAGCACAGGCATGGCCATGGAAGCCAACTGGAGACCCTTCCTGGCCACCTGGGGGCCCCTGCTGCTACCTCTCACCTTGTCACCCCTCTGAGCCCATCTGATGCCAGGTCAGCCCCCGCCACCCCCCGGACACGGCCCCACCATGCCATGTAAATATCTCCTTCCTCAGGCTTTACTTTCCCAACCCATTCAGCTTCCCTCTCAAACGGTTCCACATACTCGGCAGCCACAGTTTCCCCACCCCCAAGAAATTCAGAGTGGCATGAACATCCTGGTGACAAGAAGACGGGATCCTGTATTGCGAGGTGTTGAGTGATTCCAGAATGAGGCTGAAAGGGGAGCTGATGGCTCGGGGATCAGCCACGCGTGTGTAGTGAATAATTCAGGCTGCTGTGTGAGGCAGCTGCATGACAGGCTGCCATGCGAGAGGAGAAGTCTGGCAGTGTATGTCCTCAGGGCCTTCTCTTACCTCTCACCATGGGCAACCCGGTCCTCGCCAACCATGTCCCTTTACCGCACCTGAAGAGAATTCTTGGGGCTTCTTGCACTCTGACAACTTTGTAAGCTTCCTTATGGGAAACAGAGGGCCTGATTCCTTATACACAGGGCCGGTCCCTAATGCCCTTTCCAGCACCACATTCCAAGAGCCCACTAGTCCCCCATTTCAGAGTTGGGAAGACTGAGGCATAAGAGGGTCTCCACGGTCACCCAGCAGGCGAAACAAGAGGGAGGCTCACATTAGAGCCTTGGGGCCACAAGAGCTGGAAACTCTGGGCATGGGATGGACTTCCTGGTTCCGGAACAGACTGACATGGGGAGACAGGGCTCCAGCTCCTGATCCAACCACTGAGGCTCTCAGCAGCGACTCTTTCTTTATCCCTCACAGACGCCAAAAGCATGGCAGGTTGCACACGGTGATTCCTAGGTTCCCGGAGCCAAGCCTGGGGCCTCCCGGAAGGAGATAGACCTCCAGGCAGTCCAAACGCATCACTACAGGCCATGCTAGCCCTGCGCCCAGCCCCCACCCCTCCATACTCACAGGAGACCTGCCTCCACCGCAGGGCCAGCCTGGTCCTCTGCTCGGAGCCACTGCCGGGGGCCAGCATGGTGACGCGGCAGCTCTCGCAGCCCTGCACGGCTGGGACAGAGGATCCCTTGTAGGCACTGCCTGTCAGTCCTGAGAGAGAGAAAGAGGACGCGCTGAGCAGAGCAGGCACTTGAGGCCCAGGCCCATCCAGCCCAGGGGTTAGGGAGAGGGCCCGGTGTCTCTTTACACTGCGAGTCATTCCCTCTCCTGTTCCAGCTCTGATCCCTGGGTGGGGGAAGGAGAGGCCTGAGGGGCAGAGAAACCAGGAAAACGTCAACCTCCCGGGGTGGTCAGAGGTGGTGTGGGGGCTCAGGCGACCCAGGGGCCCTCAGTCTTAGGTGCAGTGCTGAGCTCTGGGCTGTGGGGCTCATGAACTGCCCACGTTCTCCCAGTGTCCCCTCCCCCAGCCTCTTCTTGCTGCCTCTCTGGTGTGTTGGTCTCTAAAATGTTTTCAGAGCCATACGGCCTCCTCGGTCTGGGCCTTTCTGTGACACGAGTGTGGAAACTAAGGGACGTCTCTGCCGGGTGCAGAGGGAGGCCACAGGCAACACCGGTCACGGTCCCACTGCCACTTGGCGTGCGGCCCAGGCCCCACTCTTGCTGCTGGGGGGGGGCCCCTGCTTCCCCTCCACCTTCGCCTGGGAGGTGAGTCGCAGTGTGTGTCTTCCTCGCCGGCTATAATAAGACTCAGCGGCTCAGGGGTTCGTGCTGCTGCAGCAGCTGCTCCAGCAGGAGACAGGGACACAGAGACAGGGGCACGGAGACAGGGACACGGAGGAGAGGGTGAGATTGCAAACCAGAAGGAGCAGGGAGAAGGCTTCCCTTCCAGAGAGGATAGAAGAGGGTACTCGCCCTTTCTAGGGTCTCAAGGGCCTGCCCTGCCCCCACCCAGTGATGCATAAAGCAGACACAGGTCCTCCTCTGGTCCCCACTTCCTGCCGGGTATGGAAGGGCCCTGAGACAGAGCCTGGGCCTCCATGCCCCCAGCCCCATCTGGGTGGGCACAGGACTGTGGTGGTTGCCACAGCAGCACATGCAGAGTGAGGTGGGAAATGGGGTGGAGGGAGACTGCTAACAGCCCCACCTCTTGCTGCTCCCAAAGGCACAGCCCTGTCACCTATTGCCCTGGGTGCTCCTAGAGTTCGATCTTTCTTGGTTGCCAAGTTCATCCCTGGGTGATAGC